TACACCACTGTCACTAGAGCTGATCAGTTCCCGGACGGGTCTCTTTCTGGGCCTAGAACCGGAAACCGAACCGGTCCATTTTATTTTTTCTTTAAAAAACCAAATTTCTATAATAAAATATAAAAGTTAAACTTATTAACTACAAACATGTTTGTCGGTCAAGTGGTTATACTGATTATAATGTTCCCATAAAACAAAATGCGGTTATACTGTTGTGTCCTCATGTTGAAGACCATAGTTCATTTCTAGATGGGTACAAAAGTATATATTTTTTTTAAAGAGCTATAAAACCGGTCCCTTTTACGTTTTCGGTTAAAAATCAATATTCTATAATAAATTACAAAACATACACCATTGGACTACTAAAACGTTTGTTGGTCAATGTGGTTATATTATTGTGTCTTTATGTTGAAGACCATAACTTATATCTAGATTGGTGCAAATTATTTTTTTTTAAACTCCGTTTATTTCGCAAAAAATGGATGGTTTGGAAAATATTTTTATAGAAATGATCGCTTGTATCGTTAAAAATAATTAGTCAATCAAAACTGTTTTTATGACCGACAACAATTGATGTCAAATATTTTCATGGACAGTGAAATTTTTTTTTTCGTTCATTCATTTTTGTAGTGTTACAAACGATTATTTTGAGGAAAATATTTTACAAATCATCCATTTTTTGTGAAACAAATGGAGCCTTAAAGAGGCTTAAAACAAGTCCAACCTGAGAACCAAAATTGAGAGCTAAACTGGTTCTCCCTAGAACCGACCTTAAACCGACCAGTTCGGTCCTTTTCCTGAGTTGAACTGGACCTAGTACTCACCCTCAATTGTCATTGGGCTAATCATGTTTTAGACTTGTTAGCACACATATATAACGGCCAAGTCAATGGGTTGGGTGGCCAATCAAAGATTGACATGTGAGGTTCCACGGTGGGGGTTCGAGGGCTTCTCTCTTGGTGTACCGCATTATTTTATTTAGGGTTAATATTATAAAAAACTCCAAATTAATACACATGTGATAAATTTACCTAAAACTAATTTTTTGACCACCGAAAACCTCAAATTGGTACACCTATAACAAATTTATCCAAAACTAATTTTTTGATCACCAATAACCCTAAATTGGTAATTTTGTGACAAATGTACCATCTGTTAGTTTCCGTTAATTTGGATTAATACCATAAAAAAGCATAAATTGATACACCTATGACAAATGAAGGGTAAACCCCAAACTGATCTACCTGTTAACTGCCACGTGTCATCCAATTCAGCAATTTGACGGTAAAATTTAACGAAAATTAACGGAGAGTAGATTTGTCACAAGCCATCAATTTGGGATTTTTGGTGGTAAAAAAATTAGTTTGAGGTAAATTTATCATAAGTATACCGGTTTGGGGTTTTTCATGGTATTAACCATTTTACTTAAATATATCCCAATACCGTGAGCTATTTGATGAAGCACATTTATTTATTAAGTATAAATTCCCTAATGAAAATGGAAGAAAAGAAAATATGTTGAAGCCATAAACAAAATCATCACATAATCAATTATACACAATACAAAACAACTTGCTTACTAAAAGTTAATAGAATATGAGCATTCAAAAGTTCTACTTCTTGAGGTTTGAAGAATTGGCTCAAGAATATGAAGCAACGCACGTATGGAAAATCGATCTAGAATCTCACATATACACAGTAACTCTGGCTAAATCTCCTCTCTTTCGTTGAGGAGAACCATTGGTGATGGCTGCAATGTTTACACTTAACGAGAGAAAACTGATCACCACTTGTCCAACTCGTTGGAACTCATGCACAAGAGAAGGGAAGAGAGAGAAGTTCTTGCAGGTCTTATTTCTTCCAGGACACATTGAGAAGACGACTACGTAGTCCGGAAACACTTGTATGAATACATAAGTACAGTGATCACTTAAAAAAGAAGAGAGGCTGTTGGGTTATATGATGGTCTATATAATCATGCATGATGTCTATGCAATTTTTCACGATAAAATAGGAACTTACATATAATTTAAAGCATTCCTAGAGTCATCAAAGTCTATAACTAACTTGAGAGGCTCCATCCGGGAGGTTTCGCTCTTCGATGTTCGTCCGATCCAGCAGCTTACCGGGTCCGAGTTATCTGTGGACGACTTGACGTTATTACTTATGGGTTACGAATCAGCAGTAGATACATATTGAATCTATGGAAATATGGTGAATATGCAGACAAATCACTAGCAATGCAGTTTTAGCCAAATGATAAGTTTGCACTCCTGGAAGGATGCATCTCTTCTCTGCTACAATTGAAAATATTCGTGGCAGTCAGTATTGAACGAAATATCCCATTTAATTACGCTTCGTGGTTACCGTGGATCACAAACATGATACCGGACTCTCGTGTTGTGTTTTTTGACACCGAATGAAAGCGGGACGGGTTGAATTAATCAGGGTAATTTCCCAATCAGTCTTAAACTCATTGTGTACGGATACCAATTCAATTTTAAATTTTTTAGTTGTGTAGATGTTGTCCTAAACCTTTTCATGAAATTCCAATGTAGTCCTTCCGGTCTATTACAGCCGAAAATCGCTCACTTGGCGTCCAGTCATGGTTGGTTGTCCTACGTGGACAACTTGTAAATCACCATGTCAACGATTTTTCGACAGCAATTTGCCGAAAGGATTACTTTGAAATTTCACCCAAAGGTTCACGACTGCGTTGGCAAAATTGAAAAGTTTAGTACCGAATTGGCATCCGTGTAATATGTTTAGGACTTAATTGACAATTTTCCCTGAATTAACCTAGCAACAAATGAGATGAGCAAGAAATCCACAAGTGAAATACCTATTGCGGGGAGGACGACAATGGGACGCCGAAATAAGACTATGGTTAAACCCGTACGTAATTGATGTGAGATACTTTACCGGTTGTGATCACTTTCGAAGGCACAATATCATGTAAAGACGCCACATCAATCAAGCGTATGGGGCCTTGCATAGAAGTATACTTAAGTAGTGACCTTCAAGGTGAGTCTCTCTAATTGCAAGAATTACTTTATAAATCTCTACTCGATCATTCTGCGTGGGACTTTGGATGGTACTAAAGTGAAATGCCCAACACTATGAAAACCTAAGAAAAGGGTTTAGCATCGGTTAGGAGTGAGAAAGAGAGGAAAGAGAGTGTCTTCGTACGAGTAAAATATAGCCCACAAATGTGCATATTAAAATTTTTTATTTCTTATTTTTTGGAAAATATCTAAAAATATTTGTGTGGGTTCATAAAATGAACCACTATCATAATATGAGTTCATTGAGTTCCGCTATGGTCAAATTTCTTGTTTAGAGAATTTAGTAAGTCCAAATCTACAAAACATTTGGGTTGATTAGACAACTTTTCAGAAGTTGAGTGGAGACATACCACCTGGAGTCTGTTGTGGTACAACTGTTTTGCTTCAACTGTGAAAAGAGGTGCTACAACTTTTGTAGGATATTTACTAAACAACTCACAGCCACATTACCTTCAAAATTATAGTAACTTATAGTAACTTTTAGAGATCTATCCCACCCAATTTTAAGGTGTCACATTCTCTTAAAAATGTATTTTCTAACATTCAAGTTACATGTGAGTTAACAGTTGGCTCTATTATTTCCCAAAAGCCTAAAAACACCCTACTATGTAAGATTGAGACCCACTCTATCTAATTATAGATACTACATCTCATTTCTATAGGTATTTTTATAGAAGTTGCTTAACTACTAAGATTGAAATTCAAAAGAGTCATATCCCAACTACTCAACGGGATAAGTTAAAGATCACTAAACTTGACCTATTCTACTTAACCAAAGTTACTCTTTCAATAGAATTTTTTAAACACGCAGCAACTAACAAGAATACCAAATGTTTCAAACTGTCAAGCGATGAAGATGCCAAACAGAATACCAGTTTGTCAGGGAAGACAGAGAATGTCCGAGCAGCACCAAATCACACGAAACAGACTAACAAGACCATTGAAGCACACATAGACGCACGAGGGATACATGGTTCTGCCATCATCAGTTAGAATGCTAATTTTCATCGTGAGAGTGACATAAAGTTAGAGCTCAAATGCTGACATTGAGTTATCTCAAGCCCCAAATTCTTATACATCTACTCTTGTCAAACCCCAGAAAGATATCAATCTCAGATGTTAGATTTTTATTGCTATTTGAAAGTAGATGGCATACTACTTAATATATAGCAAGTCGGACCAAGAATGTTAGAATATTTTGAAGTTTATGTTGATCTGAACTGTTGCAAAAACAAGCAATCGAACAATATAATAAATAGAACAAAAAATTAAGTCGGACGCCGGATTTTACGTGATTCAGTCGGTGAGATCTACTCTACAGGTAGAGTAGCACATGATTCCATTATAGATTAAGCGATAAAATGGAGATGCCACCACACGCATGAGTCTCTCAAATACTCTCGGTGTTTCCTAACACCCAATTACACTCGATAACTCACAATGTTTAGTCCTCATAATTCCTCATGAAATAATCTCTCAATCTCACAAAAGAATTACACAAATCTTACCCTCAAGATTTTCACGGCTTCGAACATTCTTGGATTGCTTTAGGGTGTAATTTATGAAGAAACAACCTCTTGAATGCTCTTCATGAAGAAGATACACTTCTTGTGTACAAAAGAAAAACTACTCAGAAAACCACTTGAATAGGATACCTACTTATGAATCCAACTCCAACTAGGAACCAAAGTCAAATTCAAAAACCTACTTGCATTGCCAAATCTTTAAGGGCCCAAGTTCGAGACATATTTTCGATGGCACATAATCATTGCCAGCCTAAAGGTTCGGTGTAATGCCAATCATCAAGCAAGATTGAACTGTTAACATACTTACTAAATCTCTTGCTTTCTTTCCTATTTTAGAACAAGGACCATCAAGCTGAGCTCTATCGTTCATCATTAAACCGGGCATCATGACTATCCGGAAACCTCATAGACTATAATGCAACTCATCAATATGATTTGGTCTTGAACTTAATAAGTAGATGGACGAAAGGGTAAAATCAACTGAAAAACCATGAAGTAATGCTATAAATATTTATATTTTGGAATCTATAGATTAAAGATTTTGGGGTAAACAACTGTAAGTTGGTTTTACAGCTAGAGATATCGAGTTCAATTCTTTGTACCCCTTTCACCTATGTTTCATGTTGTACTCCAACAACTTAATCCTTTAGAATAAATGGCTATGCATTGAACTTTATGCTAGTATAATTGTTGATATAGTTGATAAGACAGGCCTTGTGTATATCTGCATCTCCATAACTTCAGCAAGGAATCTGATGGATCATCATAGCAGCCTAATGAGATGCACCATCAAAGAAGAGACTGCGGGTGAAGAAACATATGGCACCGATTGCGATGGTCGGAAATTTGGATTGAAATTTATTAATGCAAAAGAGTACTTTACTTTGAAATAAGAGGGAGTTGGGCCCAGCATGATAAACTCGCAACATAGATTTTTAATAATTCGACGTACGAGGAGTGACTGTAAAGATAAGTCCCAAATTGCATTTCCATAACTAGAAGGAGTGGTTGATATATCTAGGTCTAACTAGGTGTGTAAATGCAGATAATCGGGGCTCTCTCTTGGTCTCCCCATTGTGAAGGTATTGAGCTTTTCCGTCGCTTCCCTATTATGATACAATTTTGTAACTACCCGGCCTGATCAAAGTATTAAAGTCAAAACTTGTTTACGGATGGACTTATGAATTACAAAACAAGCCCTCTTCTATTTGTGGATTTGGAGTAGGAGTGAGCAAGATGGATCACCCAAACCGGGACCAGACCATACCGGACCGATCGGTTTGGTTCGGTTCTCGAGAATATCGGTCTAGTTTCTAGTTCCTAAAAGTGGAACCGGTTTTCGGGGGGTCCAATTCCCGGTTCTAGGGTGGGAACCGGACCGGACCAGATCGATAAATATATATTTTTCTAATTTTTTCATATATATATATTTATTTACTTGTTAAAATTTTTGAAAAAAATAGGAGGCCTAATCTAATTTCCTCAATTCCTTTTTGCCTTTACCAATAAGTGATTAGTCCTATTGAAATCGGACCGGACCGGTGGTCCGGTCCGATCCACGGTCCCAAGACTAGCCGGTCCGGTCCCCGGTTCTTGGGTTGGACTAGACCGGATCGAGAACCGCTCACCCCTAATTTGGGGTGCAACATCTCCTTTACTTAAATCACTAAACTCAAGGAGCCGCACCTTGTTTGAGCTCTTTTGCCCAGACCATCACTCTCTAGCCTCGCTGGATTATCTCTAGGGGCTTAATCCACTTCTGTAACTATACATATACTGCAAGGGGACTTGACCCTACCGACTCAAAGTTGCATGCGCAATCATTTACTCTAAAAACTACAGTTGTTAGAGTACAGTGAGTTATATAATTCATAGTTCAACAAGAACATGATTTGCTGCATCTGAACCAAATACACAGCCATGATGGTTAACTTGGTAGGTTGATCTATAACTAGAAGTAGTGAAGGAAAATTGATGAGGCAAGTGTATGGGGACTTCACTTTCAAAGAAGGGTTGGAAGGGTATCTCTGCACTCTCTGGTATATGCCGTTAGAACTAATTAACATTGAAAGAGTATGACGTTAATGGATATATGTCTCTCCTATGACAAATGACATTAAATTAAGAGCAAGATTACTTCGGCACATAACAAAGAGTATATCCAGACTGTGCTCCTAATATATCTAGTGAAAAACCCCAAATCGACACCGGAAGAAAATAGTCGTGGTGTGAGCTTCCTTGACCCCGTAATCCAAGGTTTATTAATCTTTCTGATAGTCATGCGCTGGATTCTTGTGGAACTTTCAATGGCGACAAAGATATCAAACCTGACACTTATTCAAAAGTTTTATTAACATCACTCCACGATGGACATCGTATGTAGTATGGCGTGATGTTGATCTAATCTGTGTGCTCCCAAGAAAATGCAAAACCAGAGATAGCTCGAAACGAAGATGTCAAACCAATGGAAAGAACAGAAGAAAGGACATTCGTACGAGACAATTCGAGGACAGGTACGACTACACATATATGAAAAGAATTTATGACAAAGAACGACCGTACTGCCATGCAAAATTCTATGCATGGTCTTGTGAAATTTTTTTTATGTGCTGCCCAAGAAGCAGCAGATTCTCTGACATTGCCAAAGAGTGATTCCTTGGGCATAACAAGAATAAAAAAAAAGGACATGTTCGTGAACTCTGATGTTGTAGCTAGCAACATCTAAGGAAGAAATGGTCGCTGAGTGATTAAGGAAAATAATATATGCAAATTGTAGCTACTAGCGACAAAATCGACATTCCTTCCATGTTTAACATCTAATCTATAGTTTAACACGCAAGCTATTTTATCCCTCATGGCCATCTATGGGGAACACAAAATCTCACAGAATCACAAAAGTGACAAAATCATTGGGAAAAGAAGTTATGGTTTTTTTTTTCTTAAATCAAATTATGGAACTTAAACAGTGCTTCTCATTATATGAGTGTGAGAGAGAGAGAGAGACTTTATACCTCTCTATAATGATATATGCAAATATTAATTGTTGCAGTCGCTAAAGTTACTCACCTGAACCTTTGCACTCAAACTACATACTAAAAACGTAACCGTCGCTAAAGGAGTCTTTGATTTAGGGTTTTTGGAGATTTCAGCCTTAGGGTTTATGAGTGAAAGAGAGATAACACCTCCATAGTTGAAGATCAACCGCTACTTATCGGTCCTTGAGCTATCTAAACAGCAATAAACCGGTAGGTATTTCCCGTCTCCGATAGGTGGATCTGCGTTGTGTCATGATAATTTCGCGACCAATTGATAGTCAAAATTGTTTCTAGTGTTGATGCTTCTGTGAATTGGTCTTGGGTTAGGTGAGGATTGAGTTTTCACGGGTGTTACTTTAAGCAACGGTCGGAATATAAAGATCAAGAAAATTAGCTGGTTTGTGCAATAAAATGCAAATTTAATTTACCTTCCATGAAGCAGTGAAAGCCGAGCTGTTGTCACTAAGAAAGCTTTGATTGCTTGGCTTCATCACTCATCTTGATCGGATTCTTCCTTTTCTTCTTCTTCTTGTATGGAATCCCTCTGGCCTTGGCCTGACACTCCTTGACTTCCCTCAGGTACACTCGGATAGCCCCGTTCCCGAACGGGTTGTTCTCCGGGGCCCCGCCGTTCTCCTCGTAGGCTGCCCGCAGCCGCCCGATCAGCGCGTCGAGGCTGCCCCACGCCTGCCTCAGTGGGCACGTACAAGGGGCGGGTGGGTCGCGCTGCCCGAAGAAGACGCACCCATGCAGGTGGACCTTGGTCTTCCCGAACTGGTCGAGGTAGCGGAGGAACTCCAGCACGTGGTTGCAGTTGCACTGCGAGAGCGCGACCGGCGGTTTCTGGTTCCGCAGGTACTGCCCGAAGGTGTTCCAGTCGCGCCGCTTCTGGGACTCGTAGCGGCTCAGCGGGGCCGGCGACGGCAGCGTCGGCTGGTCAATGGCCGATCGAGATGATCCCTCGGCTATGTTTCTCTGGATTTCGGTCGACGACATGATTAATTACACGAAAGTTTGATTCCTTTGGGGGAATTTGATGGCGAAAAAAATGGAAGGAGAGAGAGAAGAGGCGAGAGAGAGAGAGAGAGACAGGGAGAAAGAGAGAGAGCGCACAAATGGAGAAGGATGAAAATCACATCATTCTTGGGTATTACTGAGGAGACAAGTAATGGGCCCTTGGGAAGCTGCTTTTCTTCCTTCTCTTTCTCTCTCTTTTTCTCTCTCTTTCTCTCTCTCTCTCGTTTCGTTCTTTGGTCCTTTAATTAGTATCGCGATTTTCCACTCACTAAAGATTATTTTTATATAAGAGTAAAGCGATTATGAATAGCCATCAAATTCAATCACTGCAATCATTGTCTTTTCATAACGATCGTAATCACATTATCAAATAAAGTTCTGTTACTCCGAAGACGGTGCAGACCAAATTTAATTGTCTTGTTCTATGTGAGGCTCGTATTTTTCTCTTATAAATCTTTTTTTCTTTTATTCAAGATTCACTTGGTTTCGGGATCTTTAAGTTTTAGAGGATGGTGGTGTTCTAGTCGGAGATTGATTAGCTTGGTTTGCTCCAATCCCGACCGACTTGATGAGCTAAGAGAAACTGGATTAGACATGCAGGGTTACAGATACAGTGAGGGGGACAAACTTCAGGTGGGATTGGTGAGGATGGACGCTCCCAAAAATTGAGTTCTGGGGTCAGTTTTGATCAGTCATGTACTAGATTTATGGAAACATCATGTGAAAATTATATCCTGAAGGTGAGATTCTTGATAAGTTTCTTTTTCCTATGTACCCCCTGTAGGCCATTGACGATGATGTTTAATGTGATTTTTTTCCTTTTAATAGCTTTTCATTTGCTAGGACAGTGGTTGTGTTGGTGCGTCCACATAACATTTTGGATTAGAAGACAAAACAAGAGCATATAATTCCCATTCGATCGTACTTCTCCCATGCCACTGCATTCTGTAATTATCCTCATATCGGATTCCACTATTTGCCCTATAAAAAAAGCTACTTTAGAGTTATTATGATAAACGCCGAGGGTTGGCATAATTGATTGGAGCTTAGGAAATTTTCAGCTTAGAAACCCAAGTCCATTTGTTCAAATCTCAATAACTGCATGCAAACTACTCTGGGCTACGGTCATTAATATGAGCCTAAAAGGCTCGAACTTGACCGATTTATGAGGACTTGCAAGATGTTCCTCAGGGCCTTCAAGTAACTAGACTTCTATGTTCATACCCCTAGATTATAGAAAAAGGCAGCTACTATAGCACTTAGCTAATTTCTTCAATTAGCCACTCTCCGTATTTGTCTTCCTATCCCACAACCTCGCCAGCCAACATCACCATCGACATCTCCATTCATCGCGACGACACTCATCCAGCTGGTGTACAACGCCATGGCCCCTCTAAGTCTCCCCCTCACTCATCCCCTTGCCAGGGACCTCGTCTCCTTCTCTCTCTGCTCACTCGCATCTGCAAGTAGCTCGACCCTCCTAGACTCCTCCTTTGTCATCGACAAGCATGAGCGAGAATAGCAATGGCTACGAGCCAGGATCTGAGCGAGCTTGAACCTCATATCTCAACCCAACCCCTAGATTTGAGATTGAGACCTTTGCTCAGCCTCAAACTTAGGTCGATTCGAGGTCAAGTAGGGTCGACAAAGGTTGCCCATCGACCTTAGGCCCAACTTTTGCGGAGAAGGGAAAGAGGAGAGAGATAGGGACACAGCCAGGTGGGTACAGGCAGCTACTGGAGTGGCGCGTGGCGTGAATCCAATGGTAGATGGCGTTGTGACAAGAAATAGATATAGTACCGACGACATTACTGCTTCTCCCCCATCAAGTACCTCTCTCTCTCTCTCTCTCTCTCTCTCTCTCTCTCTCTCTCTCTCTCTCTCTCTCTCTCTCTCTCTCTCTCTCTCTCCCTCTGTTACACCAATTGGGGTGATTGAGGGTCCCTTTTTGCTCGAGAAGGGGTCACACAGAGCCTATAGGATCAAAGGGTCGTAACCCATCCACTGGTCCAACCCACCAATAACGTTCCACCATTTTAGTGTCCCACCTGGTTACAAGCTTGAGTCACTAAGCTCAACCTCTCATCTTGCTCATATGCGGGGATAGAGATAAGGGTGCAGCTAGGAAGGTCTAACGGCTCAATGGTTGGCATCTCTCCTGAAGGTAGGCCACGGGGTCACTAGCAATGTTGTGGGCAAAGGACAGTAGAGGTGGTGGGAGGGCACTGGTAGGCTAGGGCATAGCAAGGATTAAAGAGAGTCTCAAAATACATGTGTGAGTTATGTTAGAGAAGTTCCACATTGGAGAATCGATGTTGTGTGGAGCAGTTAATATATCTTAGTTAACTCATAACTCATTGATTTAAGTTTTTGAGTAAATATGGATCCAATTGGATATGTCGATGGGTTTGGACTTGGGCTCCCTCTTGGCAAACTTCCCAGATAAAGTTATTTGACTTTTGCTGGGTGCACTTAACAAATGGCATTAGAGTCGATTATAGATTGGTGGGCTCCCAATCTATTTTAATGTTTGGTGAATATCTCAAGAAAGCAATTTGGTGACCAACGTAGCTTTTGTTTCGGTGGTGAGTGTTGTGGTATAGTAACGCGGGCCCGATGGCGGATTTCATGGTTCAGTTTGAAGAAAAAGTCCAGGGATGAAGTTGCGCGTTCATGGAGTTTCAAGATGAGATATCTTGATGTAGAAGGATACTTGGATTAAGGGAGAGCGGACCTAATACTAAGCTCACACTTGAGGGAAAGATTATTAGAATGCATGCGTGACTTGTTTTATAGAAGTCTCATATCAGAGAATTGATATCGTGTGGAGTAGTTAATATATATTAGTTAGCTCACAACTCATTGGCTTAACTTTTGAGTGAATATTGATTCAACTGAATATGTTGATCGGCTCGGACTTGGGCTCTCTTGTGATAATCTTCCTAAGTAAATGTATCAGACTTCTGCTATACCATCTCAACAGGATAAAGATCTCTCTCTCTCTCTCTGCGCTAGCCCTATCGGGGTGATTGAAGGTCACTTTTTTCCTGACAAGGGGTCAAACAATGCCAACATGGATCAAATGGTCTTAACCCATCCATTGGTCCAACCCATCAATAACGTTCTATCACTTTAACGCCTCGCTTGGTTACAAGCTCACGTCACTGGGATCAGCCTCTCCTCTCCTCTTCTGCACAGATGTACGTGTCCCCTATTGCTAATTTCCTTTAAACTGCTTAAATTCATAAACTCACTAACCTTTCTCAAGTATCAGTGCAACATGACTTTCTAGAAGAGGCTATACTCCAATAAAATAAGTGTACGAATCAAATAAATAAACATTTTCCCACGGTCACCGCCACCTCCACTAATATGATAATAATGACAACCTTGTATTGGCCCTTGGTGGTGGTGTTTTTCCTTTTGTTTGTCCACTTACTTTTTCGTTTTTATCGTTTTCGCTGGCCATGTTTCCTCGGACGGTGTCTTCATCATCCCCTTTTTTCCCCTCTCTCCAGAAATTATTTTTTCACCTCGCAATCACAAAACCCTACAGAACAAAAGCGACATCCTCGAAAATCCTGTTTTGCAGATTTCCAGCTCTCGTCTCTCTGCCAAGGGTTGGTGGGTGCACGTGATGCATGATGCTGCAGTGACAATTTCTCTATTCACCACAATAATGCCAACAATTCATTTTCAAATTATATTTAATTGATTCTTGAGTGGAAGTAATTAGTTCCACATTTATTGGCGGGACTAATGAGATGGGTTTTGATTGCGTGTGGATTTGGTGGGGAGGTTCGAGCTTGCGAACGCGTTTCATACTGTGTTGCTTGTGATCTCTACAGTTAAATTATAAAGTGTTCGAAATTCAAACTTAACCAGTCCGTGTGGCCATTGGAGGAAAAAGGTCCTGGTTAGGGTCTATAGAGCTAGTGGCCATGATTGAAGCTGGGAAACAACCTTTGGGATTGGTAAGGTTTATATTGGATTCGACCCTCCACTGTACACGTCCTTTTTTGACAAAAGCACAATGTTTGAACACCCAAGACATATAAATAAATGGATGGGCATATAATAATGTATGTGAATGATTACAAGGTAGTTTAGGGTACGGCCCTCTGTTGTTTCTGTCTTCAATAAGAGAGCTAATCTATTCACAGGTTGATTTATTTCTTTTGGTCAAAGGCAAAATCAAATATATCCCAGATCTTACTCTCGTGTAAAGATTTTTCCCCTTAAAAGGCAATTGCTATTTATAACTTCATTGGACCTGTTAAAGGTATGCGTCGGAAAGTTTTAGACAAAAAAAAGTCATACATGGAGGATGTGGTGTACGATAGATCTGTTAATATATTATGATTGGCTCATAAGTTAGTTACTTAATATTTTTTTGTCAATATTGATCCAACTGGATATATTGATGTTTCGACGGAATTATTCTCACGACGAAATATAATTCACCGAAAGTCGTTTTTCGATTCTTAATGAGAGAAGACCGGATTCTATGGCAACTCCGGACAGGAGATATCCAGGCGTGAACAAAGAACTTGCTTGTTTTGATCAGCAATGCAGATTCAAACTGAGACAAGATCCAATCAATAAGAACTTCAAACTTTATAAACAATTCAGAGAGATCCGTTCGGTTACCGATTGGCGGCATCCGAACTCCATCGACACCGTATTACAGAACTATTGTGCTCAGAACATAAATGACTACAACTGAGGAAATTGAAAGTACAGTGCTGAAAAGTAAAGATAATTGAAAGATAGTATTTTGATTGTGTGTTCGCGAGTGGGCTTTTTCTGGCTGTCGAGTGGTATTTAGACTGAGAGTATGATAATCGTCTCTCTAATGCCATCTACCAATACTTACCATTGATCCCATCTTTACTGTTCCTTGCATGACATCTGTCCACTAACCGTTTGTTTGACTTGGTCCTAGCTTTGACACCTTCCTTCCCCATGAGGTAATCGTCGTCGACACTACTCTATTTCGACACTTGTCCTTTCGTGAAAAGTAACTGTCATCGATCCTTATCCTGACACTTGTCCTTCTTTGCAAGATAACCGTCCTCGATCTCATTTTATTTTGACATCCGTCTTTCTACGAACAGTAACCATCTTCACGTGCATTTCTTGTCGACAGCTTCGATAGCCTGGTTTTC